AGATGTTTCCTCCAGGTACTGCGGAAACTGTCGTGCGACCACACTCTTGACAACCTTCGCCACAAAGCGAAGGTTGGAGACCGGACGATAGTTGGCTAATACTGTCGGGTCCAGGAAGGCTTCTTGAGGAGAGGCCTCACCACCGCCTCTTTCAAGGCCGTGGGGAAGTAACCCTCGCTGCTGTGATAATGTGTAATGCAAGGTACCATGAATCTTTTTTAATATTTCCCGGTTTGGAGCCGAGCAAGCATGTCTCTGGTCGCCATTCAATCTCTTGGTTTAAGATCTCGTTAAGCCATTTTTTTATTTTTCCCAAAAATTTTACTGCTTCTGGGCATGTCCACCATTGGTGATAATAAGTGCCACGCTCAAACCCACACTTCCAGCATTCAGCGGACTGTCCAGTAAACATTTTGGCCAATTTATCGGGGGAGAGATGCCATCCATATAGCATCTTGTAAATATTTTCTTTATATGCCGTAGAAACTACTAGCTTCATATTCCCCCACCAAATCTCTTGCCATTTTTCCAGATGGATTGAGTAACCAAAATTTTTCCCCCAGGCAATCATTGTATCCTTTATTATCTCGTCGCCAATCTCTAACCTCATCAACAGTTTATAACTTTTAGAAATCATGCCTTTTTCCTGGCCCATCAAGATTTTGTCTAACTCCTGCAAGTCAACATTTATACCTTTCCTATCTCTGTCTTTTTTATATTTTGATTGGATCTGTAGATAGGTCCACCAATCCAATTGTAGTCCTGGGAATTCAACTCCTGTTTTGGCTTTACTCTCCTCGTGCATTCAGCAAGTCTTTGTACATTAATTTTTTCACAAGGTTATATAATTTTGGATATATCAACGCTTCTAGAGGGGATATCCAGCATGGTGTTTTAAGATAGTATTTTTTACTGATCTTCTCCCAATTTCGAATTAAGATATTCCTTATATAATGCCGGGTAAACCATTTGTTTTGTGGAGTGTTATCCCGCCAGAGTGCCATATGCCAGCCCTGTTGTAAATCATGGCCTTCTATCTTGAGAAGACGACTATTGCCTAAGGTGATCCATTCTTTTACCCAGACTAACAGAGCGGCTGAATAGTAGTTCTCCCAACATGGTAAACCCAGGCCTCCCCTTTCTTTTATCTCCTGCATTATTTTTTTTTTAATCCAGGATTTTTTCCCCTGCCAAATTATTATTATTATCATCATTATCATTATCATTATTATTATTTATTGAATTTGTATACCGCCCTACTCCCGAAGGACTCAGGGCGGTGAATAGCCAAATAAAATACATATAATACAAATGTTAAAAAGCCATTAAAATACAATTAAATAATTGGCCCAGAAAACGAAATTTAAAACACCCCAAATTCATAAGACAAATTTAAAATTGAAGAATTTTAAAAATTTTAAAAAGTTTAAAAAGCTCATTCCAGATGGCGGGTGCCCCCACAGAGAAGGCTCTCCCCCTGGGGGCCGCCAGTCGACATTGTTTGGCCGACGGCACCCTGAGGAGCCCCTCTCTATGGGAGCATACTGGTCGGTGGGAGGCTACTGGTGGCAGAAGGCGGTCTCGTAAATACCCCAGTCCTAAGCCATGGAGTGCTCTAAAGATGGTAACCAAAACCTTGAAGCGCACCCGGAAGACCACCAGGAGCCAGTGCAGCACGCGCAGGAGGGGGGTCACATGGGAGCGCCCCGTCGCTCCCATGTTATTGCTTGATTTAGTTATTGCTTGGTTATTGCTTGATTTAGATCCATAAAGAATTTTTTTGATAGATTCGCTGGGGCAGTTTGAAACAAAAAATTAAACTTCGGTAAAACATAAGATTTTATTGTTGTTACCCGTCCCAAAAATGATAGTTGAATTTTACCCCACTTGTCAAGGTCTTTTCTTATTTGGGTTAATAATTTATTATAATTGTCCTCTTGTATGCTCGAGCATCTGCCGGTTAACCAGATTCCCAAATATTTAATTTTATTGACTACTCTTAATCCAATCGCTTCCTGTAAACCCTTCTTATCTTCCTCTGAAACGTTCTTGGTTAATATATTTGTTTTCTTTTTGTTAATTAATAGGCCTGCTACTGCCCCAAATTCTTCAATTGTCTCTAACAGGGATAAACAAGATTTTATGGGATCTTCCAAAATAAAAGCCATGTCATCTGCAAAGGCCTGAGTTTTATATACCTGGTGTCCAATTTCAAGACCTTTTATTTTTTTCCTCGTTTCTTATTTTACGCAGTAGTGTTTCTAACAATAATATAAAAAGTAAGGGGGATAGAGGGCAACCCTGTCTTTTGCCTTTGCCAATAGAAAATTCTTCCGTCAAGTCCCCATTTATCAGTAATCTAGCCATTTGTTTGGAATAAATGGCTTTAACTGCATTTATAAATCTTTGTCCAAAGCCCATGTATCTAACTGTAATAATATAAACTCCCAATTGACCCTATCAAATGCCTTCTGGGCGTCTATAAAAATTAATGCAACCTGTTTACCTGGGTGATCTTCATAATATTCAAGTACATTTAACATGACTCTCAAATTATCTCGTATTTGTCGTGACAGCAAAAATCCATTTTGATCGGTATGTATAAATTCATTTAGAAAACCTTTTAATCTATTTGCTAAGATTGCTGTAAAAATTTTATAATCTGAATTCAGAAGAAATATTGGTCTATAGCTTTTTATGTCTACCGGAGGAGGATCTTCTTTAGGTATTAAACTGATATTAGCCTCCCTCCATGAGTGGGGAATTTCTGCTTTCCAAGAACTTCATTAAATAAATCTTTCATATGTTCTCCCATTACCTCAAACAATGTTTTATATAACTCAGCCGGGAGTCCATCTGTGCCCGGTGTTTTTAAATTTTCCTGTTTCTTTACTGCTATTTCGATCTCCGTTAGGGTAATTTCCTCGTCCAAAATTCATTTCGTTAAATTGGGTATCTTAGGTAGATCCGAATTCTCTATATAATTTTTCGTCACACCTGCTAAAATCTCCTCTCTTTTATATAATTCCTTGTAAAAATCCACTGCAATTCTTTCTTTCCCTCCTTTATCTTTTATTAGATTTCCATCCTTATCTTCTAATTGTTCAATTCGTCTACTCTGTTTCCCTTTTTTGAGTTTTCCCCTGTTTTGTAATCCTGTGTCAGGTTAAAAAAGGAGAAACAGAGGACAAGATAAGAGGATCTTACCAGCTATTTGTATTGAAATGAGAGATGAACTAGGATTGAAAGATATTTGGCGTGAGCACAATTCAACAATTGAACAATTCACTTATTATTCTCCCAGGCACAAATCGTGGTCCAGGTTGGACATGATTTGGATGTCACAAGAACTTAACTCTCAAGTGACAGAGGTTAGGATTATGCTGAATGACTGGGTGGACCATAGCCCAGTATTAGCTGTATTAAAGAAAGAAGGGAAAAATAGGAAGAGCTGGATGATGAGATCAGAGATTTTGAAAGAATTTGAATTTACACAAAAGCTTAAGACAGAAGTGACCTTCCTCTTTCAAGAAAATAGGACAGCAGGAATGCCTCTTCAAATAGTCTGGGATGCTGCCAAAGCCTTTATAAGAGGTCTTATTTTCAAACACATGGCTATTAAACGCAAAAAAGAAGAACAAGAGAGGGGTGAGATATTAAGTAAATTAACAAAGGCCGAGGAACAATTGCAATATAACCCATTGTCTATTGAAGCAAAAGAACAGATAATATTGTTAAAACACCAACTTAATCTCTTGGATCTGGACAGGTTGAAACATAAGATAAAGGCAGCAAGGCAAAAACACTTTGAGTCAGCTAATAAACTAGGAAGATGGCTTACATTTAGGAGAAATTTTGGGTTCAATTGTGATGGTAAGTCAGGGATGACCTGTACTTTTAATGTTAACTGTATAGAATGAAGGTTAAGTTACAGTGATTTTATTAAATTCACTCTGCAAGATTATGACTTGATAGGAATTCTATTATTATTATTGTGATCTTAAAAATGTTAATAACTTTCATTCACTTTATATCTATTTATAGTAATCTATTCAGACACATATGTTTGAAGCAAACAATCCTATACTGAATGTGTATACTTGTATCAAAATGCTACAACTATCCTGAATGAAGAAACAATGGAATTGTGAACATTACAATATATGGCAGTCTCACACACATACACACAAATTACTTAGTTCTCTGCATGGTAATATACTTGTATGCATCGTTATGACATACAAGACATGATAGTATACCAAATTAAATTTTCTGAGATGAGATTTAAAATAGAAGTTCACAGTCTAGTAAGACACGATTCCCACGTTACTTTACTGTATTCATAGTACAGCAACAATATTCCACTGACAACACACACCCTCATAGCTTTCAAGATTAAGTGCAGAAACGTAAGATGAGTTACAGACATAGATCATGATTAACTGTTGAGCATATTTATATTCCTGAGTGTCAATATTTTAACACTGTATCCCTTTTAGACAGAGATGTGAATGCCGCTGGAGAAAAGGTACCTACCTATGTCTCATTCATCGAAGAAGAGCCAGCACTGCATTCTCCTGGTTGGCCAACTGTATTTACATATGGTTTACCAGGGCTGGCATCCGAGTAGTACTGACCACTGACAAGAGCCAGCGCTTTCAATGCTCGCGTTGCGCTAATGCCAATTTGGCTCGATAGTTGACCAGGAGCATTTATATTTATAGAAATGCCTTCCAGGGATTTAGAACGCTTCCAAGCGTCTTCCACGAACAATGCCTTCTTTCGCTCCGGAAATATCAGATGCTCCCAATGCGCGAGTATGACAATCCCACGATGGGAGCATATTTTTTTCCCGAGCGGACGCCACACAATTCCAAACGCGCTTCCACATTCCAGAAGTGGCCGCGATCGAAGCGCGGTACCTATTTTACAGTGTCAAGAGGTCCTTTTCGGACCGCAAGCCTTCTCCCCTCCCCTGCCATCCCCAGGCGTACTCCTACCTTGGTACGCGAGGCTGAAGCGCGAGCCCACAGCCAGCAGAACTGCCAAGCATACTGAAGTCCCCGTCATGATCCTCGGCGGCTGAAAAGTTGGGTCTCCGCTGCTCCAAGGCTCGCCCGAGTGAAAGGCGGGAGCAGTGGGGCGGGGAAGAGACAGAGCCCTTCGCCAAGCAAGCTGTGGGGCGCTCTGTGGAAACTCCTCCCTTGCGTCCTCTTCCCGCCGGCGAAGCGCACTGGAATCCTCCCTTTTTGTCCCCCCCTCCCAACACCCCTGGATAGTGTTGCAGGGAGATTGAGGAGAGACGCCGTAGTTGCCTTCCGAGGATACACGCAACTTGCTTCCAGCCCGTTCTCCCAGTGGGTAGCGCCTGTTGAGCATATTGAGTGTCGGCGTTTTTTCTGATCTCACACATAGGTTTAATAAAATCTTCACTACGCAGTTCCAAATACACTTTTCTTTTCTCCTTTCTCTTGCTGATTCTTTTAATTCCCGAAGAGAGGCTGTGGAGGAAATGGTTGCAAAAAGCTGGAGACCTCCATGAAGTTGATAGGAAACTGAAGCGCCTTCTGCCCCGACCCAAAGCAGCCCGAGCAGTTTGCCGCGGGGCTCCTCCCGCTGTAACTCTTCCAACCTTCCGCGGTTACAGCCTGGGCTGCCAACAGAGACTGCAAACCCCAGCTCTGCTTTGACAGGCTTGGGATCACTGCAGAATGTTTATTTTTAAAATCCTCTCTATTGTCGTTCCAGTAAGGTGCACATTCCAGAGCTGTGGTTGTAAAGAACAGAGCACCATCTACAATGTTCACAAGAAGAACGTTATAATGTGCTTTTCTCTGGCACCTTTACTGGGGAACAACACTGAAAGCCTACTTTTAACCTCCAAGTGGCCATTGTGAAAAAGAGGGCACTGATTAGATAAGTCAAGGGAGATCCAGTTCTCTCAAAGATGCTTTTTCAAAAGGCAACTGGACTGTTTTTTCCTTGAAGAAAAAGTCATTTCACTTCTCATCCAAGAAGCTTCACCAAGTCTGCCAGGATGGTGGGGGCAATGGAAGGATTAGTCCTGCAGGATTTTTTTTTTGGGGGGGGGGGCAGGCTGGAAGGATCATATTTTACTTCCATCACTCCCACCCTCCTGCCGGAACTGATGAAGCTTCTTGGATGAGAAGCAAAACGTTTTCTTCTTTCTCAAGGAAAAAAAAGTCCAGTTGGCTTTGGAAAATCACCTTTGAGACAATTATGGTCTGTATGACTGAGAATGTCCACAGACAGATCCAATTCATTTGCCTTTGCAGGCTAGTTGATGTAAAGAGCCTACACCCATAATTCAATGGGTCCCCCCCCTTTGTCCCTTGGAACCCAGTCATCATTCATTCACCAGACAGGCAATTGAAGAAGTCAGCATTTCTGGCTTCATCTTGCACAAAATCCTTGTTTGACAGTTTCTCTATGCCTTGAACAGATGAAGCCATCAGGCAGAAAATGAATCAGCATCTTGAGAAATTACCCCCATATGTGAAAACACTTTTGCTGGGATATTTGTAAGCCGAGTTTATACACATTAGGACTGTGCAGTGCAATGGATTTGAATGGAAAAAGTTCCAAAACCAATTGTATCTAAGACTGTACGATAAGGGAATCCTGTGCTTTTGACTATTGCCTTCAAAGGCATGTACCAGTATTCTGTTTTAAATTTTCAGATTACAGAGACAACCAAACCAGTGTTATTGTACAGTAATTCATGATGGAACAGAGCTCCATCATGTTAATGTGATACCAAGAGTTAAAATACTTTCACTGGATCATAGAAACCATTACTTACACGTTACTTTAATATCCAGTATTTTAGTAAGAATACACTAAATTATCTTAAGGTTTTATTGTTTGCAAATGTTTCCTTCTAAAGGTAAGACTACTAAGAATAAACACTTTCATTAGTTATTCCTCTGCCTATTTCTAACCAAGAGTACACATGCAGTTGTACCTTTTTAGGAAAAAAAAAACCACAATCCTTATTTCAACTTCTGATGTACAAAAATATATTTTATTAAAACCACTGAAAGTTAAGGCCACAACACATCAATAAGACTGTATTTCCCATTTTGTGTCAATAGTAAAATTATGAATACAAATAAATATTGGAAGGTTGGTTCAAGTTAATCTAGATCAGTCCCAAAATGCTAAATTTTATGAAAAAAATTGTAATCATTACCTAGATGCCATTATTGTTTCCATGTATAAACTGCAATATCTGCTTGTAAAACCTCACATATATACAAGCCTTATATTTTCATTACTAAAGAATTATACATGTAGAAGAGGACTTTCTGTTCTGATATATTGATGGAGATCCCCTTTGATTTTTCCCAGTATGGTTCTGGTTTTCATCTTTACTCGTTTCAGCAGATATACTGGCTTGATTTCCTGTATCCTGTTCACTTTGAGGTAGGTTTTCCAGTTTGCTTTCATCACAACTATGTGTATTTTTCTGCTTCATAGACCTTCTTTTAAAAAAAGAAAACTAAAACACAAAAAGAAAACAACAAAGCATATAATAATAAACAACCCTGAAACAAATGAATAATATAAAGAAACTCTATATAAAATAGTTAAAAAGAAGGCAGCCTGAACAGTGGTGGGTTTCAAAATTTTTTACTACTGGTTCTGTGGGTGTGTCTTGGTGGGCGTGGCAGGGGAAGGATACTGTAAAATCTCCATTCTGTCCCCAATCCAGGGGAAGGTTACTGCAAAATCCCCATGTCCTCCGGATCAGCTGGAATTTGGGAGGCAGAGAATAGATGGGGGTAGGGCCAGTCAGAATTTTTACTACCGGTTCTCTGAACTACTCAAAATTTCTGCTACCGGTTCTCCAGAACTGGTCAGAATCTGCTGAAACCCACCTCTGAGCCTGAAGACTTTATCCATATTATTTTGAAATAGTATGAATTAAGAATATATTATATCTGCAATTTAGATCATATATTCTAAAGAATATTCCACTGAATTCCAAGGATTTATTTCCAAATAAACTTGCACTATATTTCAGATTTTAGCCATTTAATTACTACTAAAGCCAGCAGAAGTAGGATAAATGACTAAAGTTCCCAATGAATTATTGTAACAAACTGTTATGCAACCACATTATAATTGGTAACAGATGTTTTGTTTACAACGTTCAAATAGAGTGCAAAATATTTTGCTAACATAAATAGAATTATGTCAAAGCAGCTTACTTTGCTTTCAAACTAGCTCTTGTAGCTCTTTGATTGTTAAATTATTCCATCCATTGTTTTCTAATTTGGTTAAATTTTTTAATTTCCTTCCATTCAAAATACCCAAGTTAGGAAATAATTTGGCTATGGAAATCTTGAGTACTTCGTAAAAGTTTGTGAAATGTCCAAGTATCTTAGAAATTCATATAACGTATCGTATTGTTCGTTTAAATTTTTTCAAACATGCATACGTTTGTCATATTGTATTATGGAAACTGCATATTTCAATTTCAATGTTTTTATTGGAAAATCAGAATATTATTGAAAAAACTGGGCTAAAACATTTGGGTAGAGTTAATCTTCATCTTTCTGCTGATGGAAGCAAAAACCAGAGAACACTCTAACTGAAATGTATAGCTCTCCCACTTCTGCAATCTAAAATAAATAGTATTACAAAAGTATTTTTCTTTGCTTCCCTATTATACCAAAGTGGGTCTAGATAGGGCAATCTTGAATTTCCTTCTTATGCTTTCCTGTTTTCTTAGGATAAAATCATATTTTACTAATCACTGAAAGTTATTTTCTTCAAGGCCATTGCCATACTCCTCTATATATCTCATATATCTACTTGAATGTACATTAGCTTCTCCATCACTTAAAATCTTACATTATCAGGGTCCTCACACAGAAGTCATCTGGCTTCATTTTTTGAGGCATTTCAGTTGAAACTCTACAAAGTATCAGTTAACATTGAGTGATGTTAACCATATTTAAGAACACTGTGCTCAAATACAAATTAGCATACAAAACAGTTAGCAAAAATCTACTGAAATTAATATAAATCTAGATCCATGATGGCGAACCTATGGCACACGAGCATTGGTGGGCACGCAAGCATTGCCCTAGCTCAGCTCCAGCACACATGCTGATTTTCGGGCCTTCCGGGCCCACCAGAAGTCGGGAAACAGGCTGTTTCCGGCCTCCCGAGGGCCTCCAGGGGGGTGGGGAAGACCCGTTTTTCGCTCTCCCCAGGCTCCAGATGCTTTCTAAAAGCCTGGGGAGGGCGAAAACGGCCTTCCTCAGCCCCCGGAGGCCCCCCAGAGGGCGAAAAATGGGCCCACCGGACCCACCATACCATCGTGTGCCAAAAGCGTGGGGAGCGCGGGTGGGGTGACGTGCACATACACGGGGGTGGGGCCCATTGAATTATGGGTGTAGGCACATGAACACGCAACCCCCCCCCACGCTCTCTATGCTTTTGGCATGTGACGGCAAAAAGGTTATCCATCACTGATCTAGATCATAACCCAAAAAAACATAAAATTATATTAGGGCACATGGCCCATTTTGCAGCTCCAGATATATATGTTAAATATGGAATACTTTTTCTTTTTTGATATTGTTGCAAATGATCATATCTTACTTTTACCCTTTTTGCCTTATCTAGTAGTCTTCCAGATGTTCTATCTTGATTGTCTGTAGTTGCTTGTGAAGAATTATTCTCTGTATGAATCTCAGTCTTCTCACATGCTAAAAATAATACAATAAATCAGTCACCATTTTAAAATATGTTCAAGTTGCTTCAGTCACAATTTTCAAGTGGTGAATTATTTACCATATTTTTCGGACTATAAAACGCATCGGAGTATAAGACGTACCAAGATTTTGAAGAGGTAAACAAGAAAAAGAAGTTTTTGCCCTCCCCGGTCACCATTTTTTGCAAAAACGGGGCACACAGAGGGTTTGGGATGCCTGCAGAGTGCTCCTGGGGGCTAGAGAGGGCAAAAACATGTTGCATGGGGGGAGGGATTGGGAGGCCAAAAATGGGTCCGTTTTTTGCGAAAATGGGTCTGTTTTTCGCAAAAACAGGGTCTACAGAAGGTTTGGGAGGCCTGCAGAGTGCTCCTGGGGGCTGGGGAGGGCAAAAACACGATGCATGGGGGGTTTGGGAGGCAAAAAACGGGCCCATTTTTCGTGAAAGTGGGGCCTGCAGAGGGTTTGGGAGGCCTGCAGAGTGCTCCTGGGGGTTGGGGAAGGCAAAAATGGCCCCGTTTTTGGCCTCCCAAACCCCCCGTGCATCACATTTTTGCCCTTTCCAGCCCCGAGGAGTACTCTGCAGGCTGCCCAAATCCTCTGCAGGCCCAATTTTTGCAAAAAATGGGCCTGTTTTTGGCGAAAATGGGATGCGCGGAGTGGGGTTCCAGGAGGCCAAAAATGGCTGTATTAGGTGTATAAGACGCACCAACATTTCCACCCTCTTTTAGGGGGAAAAAAAGTGTATCTTATACTCCGACAAGTACAGTAGCTAATTAGGTATTTAGTAAAGCACAAATTGTACATCCAAACCTCAAGAATTTTTATTTTATTATATAGATTTTTAGTCTGCTAGTTTTGATTTGCTTTTCACTTGGACATCAGATGCTTATGACTAAGGAGTTTTATATGGATTGAGTGCGCATGTCAAATATTTGCTTAAAAGCTTAGAAACAACGGATGACAGGGAATACCTACAAAAAAGGAAGAATACTACAAATAGCCTTTCCAGTAAGGTCCTGAACTATTCTTTGATAGTAGACATCAAACTTTCTCATCTGAATGCAACTGCTGTGACTGTATCAGAAAATTGTGAAAGCTTTGCTATTAAATTGGAACAGCAGAAGCCTTTCCAGAAGAGGCTGATATAACCATTATCAACCTGGAAAGAGCTATGAATACTTCTAGAAACAAACATTTTGAGCAGAATGCTTGTAGAAACAATATCATTTGAACAGAACTAATCAATATTTCTAGAAAAATGAAAGAATGAAAATTAAAAAGAGAAAAGTGAATTGTTTCTTACCTTGTTTAACTGGGCTATTATCTGAAATAGGTTTATCTTTCTAAAAGAAAAAAACAAGCAAAGTACCTCCAAAAATTTGTAATTTTTTTTTTTTAATTTATACATAAGTACATAAATACATCCATCACACTATCCCCTGCTCAGTTTAAAGCTGCATTGCACTGGTATTTTTCATGTAAGAATCTGTTAAGGCACAAGCATAATTAACAAACTACTTCTTGGGTAGTCTTTGCATTCACTTTAGCTACCTATCCCTTTGAAAATGGAAATAATAACAGCATTCTTTCAACCTTCAGACAAAGATACAATTTTCATACATTAAGCAAGTTGCACAGTATTCTATGAGGAAGTCAAATACGTATTTTAGCATTTTTCCAGTTATACACTGGAAAATATTACCACTTTTAATATTATCACAACAGTTACGTGTTCCTTTTCATAGACGTTTATGCTAAATTTACTGAAAACCGTATGCTGTAAAATCTAGGCTAAACATTGGCTAAAGGGTGGCTAGAACTCAGGCTGAAGAGTGTCTCCACAATCCACAATCAAACAGTCAAAAGGAGGATAGTTAACCCTAGTAATTTATAAATGTTGGAAATTCAAGACTACTTATAAATGGGGGAAGAGAAAAAGGAGTTCATAGAAGCCCATAAGACTGTAGATAAGAAATCCTTAAGAATTAGATTCATGATAAAGTTTATAGAAGTTTAAATATAGGCAACTAAGTAAATAATTACAGTGAGAAGATTCAGAAATAAGTATTAGCAATTTTGTTTAAAGACAAATTACAACTTTTGTATCATGAAACTTCTCATGCAGTAAAAGGATAAAAATATCTTACATGTGGTCTATATTATTCTTCCAAAAACTAGCTGTTATAATTCAAAAGAAATTCAGTACTGAAAATGAACAAAATATTTACCTCTGTTGTTTCCGTATTTGTAAGATTCTTTTCTTCATTTTCACATAATAGACTGCTTTGTTCCTCCTCATCATCCAGAGCTTGATCTTCATAATATTTTGCTGTATCTGGTTCTTTCTCTTCTTTTTCACAATCTTTGTTTTCATCATGGACTTTTTCATTGTCATCATCACTGCTAGTACAAGTCGCTTCCTCAGCAGACATTTTTTGATCCTTTGATATGAAGACAGATATTTTATTGCTAAGTTTATGAATCAAAGCTTCTTATCTCCACATCAAACTTTCACATTGGTCAGACACTGCAAAATAGAATTTTGCCATTTAAAGAATTTTTAGAATGAGATAATAAGAGCGTCATTTCTCCCCCCCACCCCAGAAGGTGAGAAAGATTGGCAATTCAACAATTCAACAATGTAACTAACTTTAAGTGGGTAATGAGACAGATAGCATTTCATTTTCCAAAAACTGAATTCTAAAAATGAACACAGCATTTACCTCTATGGTTTCTACAGCCATATGATTATTTTCTCCATTCTCAAAATATTTATTGCTCTTTCCCTCTTTAGGAACCTGAGCAGTATTAAATTGTTTTTGTTGATGTTTCTCTTTTTGTTCTTGTTCTACTTGTTCTTCGGTATTATGACTATCACTTCTATCTTCCTCATCATATGACTGTTGAAACTGTAATGTTTTTAAGACAGACATTAGATGTACATGAGAATGAATAAAACTTTCTATCAATATAGTTGCACTGCAGTATTGCAGGTCAAATAATATAATTTACACTTTGTGATTTAAAGTTATTTAAAGACAAGAACAGTTTTGTTTATAAAGAAATTCTGTGAACTTCTGAACAGTTGAACTGAAAGCTGGCAAAACCAATGACCTCAAAAGAAAGTAAATTAATTCTGGCCCAGAATGCAAATTACTTCTAAGTATCTCATTTTGCAACTTCATTAAAATGTTGAAAAGGTAGTAAATGTAAAAAAGTTCTATTTTTAAATTATGCAAATCATAAATTAAATTCATGCCGCTGGCATGATATAGTGGTTAAAATGCTGGATTAGGAATGAGGAGACATAGGTTCTAAACCTCTTTTAGGCATGGAAGCCATCTAGGTGATCTTGGGCTACTCAACATTTCTCGGTGTTAATCAGTGTCAGGCCCTGCAATAAATCAGTTGATAAACAAAAGCACTCTTCTCCTCATGCACTGAAGTTTCACCATGAGAGCGAGGTGACTAATGGTGGAAAAATAAGCAAGGGCTGGAAGGGGGGGGGGGGGGGGGGGGGGGGGAAGGAAGGGGGGAAGGGAAGGAGGAAGCGGGGAGGGGGAGAGGGAGAGGGGGGAGAAGGATAATTCAATTGAACTAATCTCTTGCAAAACTTAGTGGGAACTATAATCATAATAAATACTTTCATTTACCAATACTGTATGTATGATATGACTTCAGTCTGAACAAACTTATTGAAATAGTTTTAAAGATCTCTATGAAGAGAAATCTTAAAATTATAAAAAAATCCAACAAACTTTGCATTAGTAAAAATGTCTTATATTCATAACAGTTTTGTAGAAATTAAGTCCAAAGCAGGAACATTAGAAAATACCATGGATTTAATTGGAAATACAATTTCCTATATATAGGAAATCTTGATTGGCATCATAAGCACTTTCTTCATATTGCATAGAAATATTCTGAAAAGTTTCAAAAGCAAAATTTCAATTTTTGTTGATATGTTGATTTAAAATTAGCGTTTTACTGAGATTAAATGCTGTATTAATTATTTAAACAGTTTATTTTACACTGAGTAAACTAAAATAGTGGTGTTTGATATATACAATTATTATAAGGCATTTTTCCAATCTTCTATAAACTTGCCAATAAGATTGATTCTACTTCTGAATACACCTGTTTTCCCAAATCGGTTATAACTGTATTGTGTCATTTTTCCAGTATTTTACTAAAGACAATGACATTAATTAACATGAAAAAATATTTTAATTGATAAGTAACCTTTGCTAAACAGGTGCAGCTTAGTTGCAATATATAAAGAAAAATTATCCCAGCTGTTTATCTGCTACAGAATGACAAAATAACAACTATCAATGAAAAGTTCTAAATCAATGGACATTGTATCTTCACACACACCCACACCCAGTGAGCATCAAATCTTTGTCCCAATTAATTGTAAAAAGGCATCTTTTTAGTTTTTTTAAAATCATCTTCTCAAATTTTAATTACATTTCCAGATTCCATAATCCTGGAAAATTAGACATATGCTCATTCTATACATAAGAATGAGTACCTAAACTAATCAACTATTTCAATTTCCCCCCTTTTTTTGTTGTTAAACAATTTAAATTCATTTAAAAAATGAATCACATTTTTTTCAAAAAGGAGAGGATAGAATATTTGATAAAAGGTAAGAGAATGATGTGGGAAAATATACGCAGTTCACATTCTTAGATTAGAGGAATTTAGTTACCTTCTGACATGCCAGCAACTGAAGAGGTCTCAATTTTTCCCACAGCAAACATCTCAAGTTGATCCATTAATGATGCAGGTAATGGTCTTCCCTAGAACATTTCTTTAATTTAAGCATAAACTCAAAATCTCTCCTGCCCATTCAAACATTTTCAATATCTCAGGATAGTTTTCTATTCCTTGCAACAGATGGTTTATATGAAATCTTACTGAAGTTACTTGATTTCATTTTTCATTTTGCCAAATGACAAAAGGCAAGATTATATATTGATTATAACAAACAGAAGGGTAATTTAAATACTATGATCTATTTTACGGATAGACATGAATACTAATATGATAGTATCTTAAATTTAATAAAGTTCCACTTTTATTTATTGTACTAACAAACAAAATAAAATTTGGGGTCTACTGATTGCTCATACAATGCCTTATGCATGAGCTGAAACTCAAAAGTTATTTAAAAATGTAATTATTTCTTTTATGCAGAAGAGACTCTGGTTTGAATGCAGATCAGAGCTTTCTTTGCTATTTTATTATTAGCAATTCTTACAAAATATTAAGAAAATGGAGGAACAAATCATTGTGGCCAACATTCCTTATTTCATTCTGCAAATTGGCAGTGCCTTAATATAAAAAGTTATTTAACTATAATGCTGCCATCAAAGCTGACAACAGCCAGAGTATAGAAAAACTGAAAGAAATAATGCAAGATCGGAAGGTATGGAAAGACCTGGTGCATAGAATCACCAAGAGTCAGACTCGACTGAATGGATAACATCATCACCATCAACTATAATGCAAAAAGCATCAGTGCTACAATCTATGCAAAAGCTCTATATCACAAAGGTATAGAAAAACTATAAACATAAAATGGTGTACATCTTGGAAACACTTCTAGTTATTACATTAAGACATGGTAAACTGAACATTTTCTAAGAGTACTAATAAAAACAAAACAGATACAACTTGTTTTCTTTACAGTAATTTCAGTTTATAAAATATTCATAAGACTGAAATACAGATATACTACTTTGTTTGGACCTCTTCCAATCACTTAAAAATACCCAGCAATTTATAAGTTACCGGAGTAATGCATCATAAAGTGACTTATCTTAATAGCAGTTTGGCTACATAAACTCATAACAATTGCCAAAGCTGTATTTTATAAAATAACATTTGTATACACATTCATTAAAACATAGCCTCAATTTGAAATTGAGTATATGCAAAATGAAGGTGCCAATTTCAATAGTGGCCCAAAGTATACTTGTGCAATCTGCCAGTGCATTTTCTGATTGCATAGTATGATGCAAGGGAGGGAAAACAATCCAGTCTCCTACCTACTGTATTTTCTTACATCTGATCATTTTATTTCAACTCCTACCCTCAGAACGATGCTATAGAGCACTGCATACCAGAACAACTAGACACAAGAACAGTTTTTCCCAAACGCCATCACTCTGCTAAACAAATAATTCCCTCAACACTGTCAAACTATTTACTAAGTCTGTACTACTCATCTTCTCATATTCTCATCTTTCCCATCACCCATCTCCTCCCACTTATGACTGTATGACTGTAACCATGTTGCTGGTATCCTTACGATTTATATTGATATTGTTTCCTGATTGCTTATTTGTAACCTATGACTATCATTAAGTGTTGTACCTTATGATTCTTGATGAATGTGTCTTTTATTTTATGTACACTGAGGGCATATGCACCAAGACAAATTCCTTGTGTGTCCAATCACACTTGGCCAATAAAAATTCTGTCCTGTCCTGTTCTATTCTATTTCTAGTATCAGATTATTCAGTGGAAGATATCTGTAAAAAGTAGGGTTTCAATCTCTTTCCATGTGAGTAGGATAAACAGCTACAAAGCTACCATATCATTTCTAATGTTGTTCCTATGTGCTAAACAATAAAAAGAACCCAGTAAGCTAACAAAGTATATCCAACCATTTTTTACTACAGTCTAAGTCAAGTCACCGTGGTCATAATCAAGTCATAAGTGCAAATTACCTTAGTGCACCTTAACCAATGGCAAATCACAATCACATAACCAAGGAGTGCTGCAAATGGTTGTAAATGGGAGCTAGCTGCCGAGTGTCCAAATTGTGACCATGTGACCAGAGGAAGAGGGTGGCAGTCATAAATTCGAATTCAGGCCATAACAGACTTTTTCATAGGCTGTTGTTAATTCATTGTTAAATGAATGGTTGTAAGTTGAGGGCTACCTGTAGTGTAGTTTTATTGTTTAGAATCATAGAATGCAAAGTTTGGAAAGAACTATGGAAATTATCTCATTCAACCACTGCCCAGAACAAGATTCCATTACTGTATCATGACGAACAGATGACTCTCCAGACTCTGTTTAAATATTTTCATTGAAAGAGAAGGTCCATCCCCACCCCATTCCTTTGCCAAACAGTGTTTGCTGTTGCATAGTTTTTCTTGTTGTCTAACCAAAATTTACTTTCTTATAATTTAAATTTATTGTTTCTTATCCTACATTATGTGACAAGTTTTCTACATGACACTTTCAGATCAGGGGTGGGTTCTACATTTTTTTACTTCTGGTTCTATGGGTGTGGCTTATTTTGTGGGTGTGGCTTGATGGTCATGTAGGCGTGGCCAACTCAATGTCACTCATGTCAAGGGGTGCCTCGCCTGGCCCCTCCCCTCCCAGCCATTCCTTGTCACACCCAGCCTCAACGTATCTATACTTCTGTAAAAATGTTGTTTACCTTTTTTCAACTTTATTATCTACATAGATGCACTTCCATGGACCACTGAAAGGAGGAAGTGGCTCACATGCTTTGCCCAAGAATGTGATAGGCAACAGGCTTTTAAGGGGCTGCCAGAAAGAAGGGGGGGGGCAATGTATTTTCCAAAGCACCAGAAGGCAAAACAAGAAGCAATGGATGGAAACTGAACAAAGAGAGAAGCAACTTAAAACTAAGGAGAAACTTCCTGACAATGTGAACCAATATAGGTGCAGAAATACCGTATTTTCCGGCGTATAAGATGACTTTTTAACAAATGAAAATCTTCTCAAAAGTCGGGGGTCGTCTTATACGCCGGGTGTAGTTCTCCTGTAACCAGGCAGACCAGACCGAAAGGCTCTGACGAGCCTTAAATGGCTCTGGTGATCCAAGCTCTGACGATCCCAGCTGAGTTGCCTGCTAATC